AGTGCAGGTGAGTTAATGAACAGGGAGTGCAAGTGAGTTAATGAACAGGCAGTGCAGGTGAGTTAATGAACAGGCAGTGCAGGCGAATTAATGAACAGGCAGTGCAGGTGAGTTAATGAACAGGGAGTGCAGGCGAGTTAATGAACAGGCAGTGCAGGTGAGTTAATGAACAGGCAGTGCAGGTGAATTAATGAACAGGTGCAGTGCACGTGTTAATGGACAGCTGAGCTGCAAGTCACTTAATGAACAGGTGAGCTGCAGGCGAGTTAGTGGAAAGGTGAGCTGCAGGTGCAGGTAAAGGCTGACTTTTGTTCAGGCTTCAGCTGCTTCTGTCACCAGACTTTGAATGGTAAGTTTTTTTCGGCTGCTCCTTCTTCAGGGCTTACCACAGTGAGCAAACTCACATGAAAGATTTGGCAATTTGTTTTATGCCAGATGCCCTTCCTGACACAACCTGGGGTCAAACCCGCAGCCTCAGAATTACAAGACCACGGCACTGACCACCCAGCTACTGCGGCTTTGTAAATAAGGACAAAAACAAACTGATGGTTTGTTTGTGATCAAAATCTTATTTTCCTCTTTTTTTTTGTAAAAGTTGTATTCAGTAAGACATTTTACAATAAATTAGTAAAAATTTATTTTAATTGTTTGAATTGTAATAGGCCCTGTGATGACTGGAGACCTGTCCAGGGTGTACCCGCCTCTTGCACAGTGATAGCTGGACATGGGCACCAGTGACCCCCGTGACTCAAAAAGGAAGAAGCGGTTAAAGATGATTGATGGATGGATGGATAATTTTTGTTTTCCTATTAATTCAGATTTAAAGACCCATAGTCTTATTTGCAGAATTTTCATGTAGCTCTCAGTGTATTGGATCCTCCTTTGAAAATAAAAGCACAATTTATAGGATAAAATAGCATTTCATCAAAATAAAAAATACATAATGGGCAAACACTTGGCATGAAATTAATTATTTTATTTAGAAAACGAGTTGTTTTTATTATGTACTTATCAAAGAGCAACTGGAGACCAGAAGGAAGTAAAGAAGTTTGCCAGAATAAAAGCCTCCATCTACAGAGAAACAGCCAGCCAGTCAAAATATAGGAAGCAGAAAGGGAGCAGAAGTCTGTAAGAGGACTTTAACAGATGATAACCAGTCTGAAAAGGCATATCAAGACAGTAACTAGTCAGTTAATAGTCTTGTAGTAGGGCTCTCCACAACAGCATGTCCTTTCAGTCTGTAACCAGTTTGTGCCAGTCAGTAATCACTCTGTAATCAATCACTAGCCAATCTGTAACAGTTAGTAACAAGTACACAGCCAGTTAGTGGTCTTTAAAGTGGGGCCCTCCTGAGCACCGTGTCCCATCAGTCTTTACCACTCAGTAACCAGTCTACCAGTCTTTATGACTTATTGGCCTGCCTTTACCACTCGGGGACCAGTCTTTACCACTCGGGGACCAGTCTTTACCAGTCAGAGAGCTGCCTAAACCAGTCTTTACCACTCAGTAACAGTCTGTAACTTTCATTCATTCATTCAACCTTTGTTTATACAGGTTAATCCCATTGAGCCTTGGAGACTCATTTACAAGAGAGACCTGAAGAGAGACCTGTAATACCCAGTAACTAGTTTCACCACTCAGTAACTGGTCTTTACTACTTGGTAACAGTCTTTACCACTCCGTCACCTGTCCTTACCACTCAGGGACCAGTCTTTACCACTCAGTTACCAGTCTTTACCACTCAGGGACCTGTCTGTACCACTCAGGGACCAGTCTTTACCACTCAGGGACCAGTCTTTACCACTCAGTTACCTGTCTTTACCACTCAGTTACCTGTCTTTACCACTCAGTTACCTGTCTTTACCACTCAGTTACCTGTCTTTACCACTCAGTTACCTGTCTTTACCACTCAGTTGCCTGTCTTTACCGCTCAGGGACCTGTCTGTACCGCTCAGGGACCAGTCTTTACCACTCAGGGACCTGTCTTTACCACTCAGTTACCTGTCTTTACCACTCAGTTACCTGTCTTTACCACTCAGTTACCTGTCTTTACCACTCAGTTACCTGTCTTTACCACTCAGTTACCTGTCTTTACCACTCAGTTACCTGTCTTTACCACTCAGTTACCTGTCTTTACCACTCAGTTACCTGTCTTTACCACTCAGTTGCCTGTCTTTACCACTCAGTTGCCTGTCTTTACCACTCAGTTACCTGTCTTTACCACTAAGAGACCAGTCTTTACCACTAAGAGACCAGTCTTTACCACTCAGGGACCTGTCTTTACCACTCAGTTACCTGTCTTTACCACTCAGTTACCTGTCTTTACCACTCAGTTACCTGTCTTTACCACTCAGTTACCTGTCTTTACCACTCAGTTACCTGTCTTTACCACTCAGTGACCAG